TTACCTCAGCCTAAACCTGTCAACAGACCATTACAGCCCACGCTGACTATTACGGGCTGGGGGAAAAGAGGCCAAAGCCATTGTAGCGCAAAGGTGTTGGCAGATATAGGCCGGAGGAATGTGGCAACAGGGATATTTGTTGGCTGTGTGGAAGAGAGTCGTGTTTCTCAAAACACAGTTAAGTCTGCAAACCCTTATCAGCATGCTTAATAAAGCGTGGTGATGCCAGGATATCAATACGGGATCAGTTTGGATGGAGAAGATTTTAAAAAAACATAATCCAAGGTTTAACAGTGTACAAGACATGGAATTTTAGAAAGTTGAGTTGATTGCAGAGCTTTCAGTGGGCTAATAAATCCTTCACATGAGGTGTTTTTTCTGTTACTCCTTCCATTCCAAAGCAATGATTTAGATTGTAATAACAAGACTAGACAACTCCTTACTCCTTATCATTATTACGTCTAGGTGAATTTGACCTTTACATGACTTAATGTCCCAGAAAATATATTCTACAGATACGCTGGTTGTAAATATATTTGATAAGATGTCAACAACATAAAATTAAGCTTTGCCTCAGGTGGATAAGAAAATCACCTTCAGACTCTCAAAATCACCAAAATTGGAGGTATGTTGTTTTCACACTAAAAGCAATAGCTCAAGGTCAAACGTTGCTATACATCACCATAACACTCTGTACACCATGTTTAGAGCCAGAAAAAAGTTCACTACAGAGAATATGTCTATTAGAAACTGCTGAAATCTACAATTCTGAGGCTTTCACTTAAATGTTATCTAGCTTTAATGTCTTATTCACTTTTCTTTCTGAGTTTCTGAAGAGATTCTGTTTCTTGAGAGCAGAACATGTTTAACTAATAAATAAAAGCCAATAACAGTAAAATAGTTCCAAGGTGAGCAAAAATGTGCAAAAAATGACTTCCCAAACACCCTGAACTCTACACTCAAGCATTGCCCCATCATGCTCATGGGCTTTCCATCACTGTCCTCCTTGGAGGGAGTGAGGGAATTTGGCAACTCTCTCCTCGACTTCCCCCCAGTGGGGAGTGCAGTCATACCTGGGGGCCCATGAATGGAGCCCTCAGGTAAAGCGCTGTTGAAACAAATCTAAAGCTGCCTAATGACACGCACCGTGAAACTCTTCACAGGTCATTTACGCTGCTGACAGGCTGCTGCCACAGCGCTGCTGCCACAGCGCTGCACACCTCCTCCTCTCTATGTGTTGGTGTGTGTATGAGACAGACATGGAGAGGGACATAGGTGTACAAACAGATGAGAGAGCCAGAGTTAGAGGGTTAGAAAGTGTGGAAAAAAGAAGCTGATGTATATGTGATATGTATTAGTCATTCAATGGGAGGTAATCTGTGAGCTATGAAAAAAGTGTTTAGCCTTTCTGCAGCAAGGCCTCACAGCATGGGAAAGCAATTAGAGATACTATCTCTGATGGCTGCTCTGCACTTGGGTTAAGGAGGCAATAGCTACCTCAGGTCGTATTTCTAAAGACATTTAATTTATGTTTGCTGTTCTTGGAGTCTGTTTTGCGGAACAGTGGATGCCCTCGGAAAATTTTGGCTCATATTAATCTACTGCAAATGCATCGGTAATCCAGCACACTAGTATGCCTCCAGGTGTCATTACTCACTTCCGCCACTTCAACCCCATACTGGGATGAGTGTAAAAAGAAGGTGATGAGAGGTAACAAAAGGAGAATAAATGCCAGTTTTCCAGCTCTGGTTCCTAAAACAGTATCACCTTCAATTCTACACCAGATTGCCAAAATTAAAAGATTTTAATTAGTGGGATATAACTGGATGCTTACTACTTTTAGCAGTTTGATGAAACAGGCTTTTCCTTCTGGACTAACTGCACTGCAAGGCAAGAAGATGTTATGTTAACACCGTGAAATTAAACTTGACTTGCTTGGATCACCGTAGTCATTCAACCAAATGACATTTGAAATACAGAATGCAAGCAGGATGGAACCTATGAGTTTGCCTTTTTTCTCCTGCATTTATGGGTAATAGATTATCACAAGTCAGTAATGGAGCGCTCTTGTTGTCAGAGGTTTTTATAGTTCACTTTTCATTTGTGCTTTGCTTAGTTTGGCATAGTCTTATGGCAACTTTCCACACAAATGATCAAACAGAAGAAGGATTGGGGTGAGGTTATGGTAGCAGGAATGAGGTCAAGCTTCTGATTCTGGATCTGATATTCTATCGCTGACCCTTGATCTCTTACCTTCCAGTAAAGAGGAAAAAAACACATTTCACGCAGAGAATGAATAAAATATCACATTATTATTATTGTTAATTAAGTGTAAAAGTAAAGCAAACCACACAATTCACATAAACAAGCAATTCAACAGGTATTTGTAAAATTGAGCTTAAGGAATTTATGTTCTTGGAAACAGCAGCTTGACAAAATAATTTCCAACACAAGGTCAAACTTACTTGTTGTTTCTAAAGCATTCAATCACATCGTGTGGTCTTTCATATACAGTTGCTCAGTTGTTATTGAAATTATTTGTTGCAAAATAAAATGTGAATGCAATTTGAGTGATTTAAAAGTAAATCAGAAAGTGGAAGAACTACAATTTTTTTACAATTTACAAAGGAAAACGACCACCAATAAAGTAATTCAAGCTTTAAATTATTTAAGTATGATTTAGACTAGTGTGACCTGACTCATATACAGTAGATTATGCAAGTCATGATAAGTCTTCAGGTAGGTTTACCCGCTAACACATCCCTAGAGGTACATGTCTTGCTGAAAGGCCCCTTCACAGAAGTTTTTGAGGGAGGGAAGACCATAACTAATTCAATTTATCTGTCCAGAGGAAACGTGGATTTATCATTTCTCTGCCCTCCATCCTTCATCTGTGCTGAACCTGTGACACAACAAGGTTTAGACAAAGATATTGTTTTGATCCATGTAGAAGAAATCCTCTTTCACTCACACACCCACACATGGGAGGTCAAAGGTCAGGCTCAGCACAGAACAACAGCCTCTAAGCTGTTGTGCCTTGAATGTGCTGCCCCTAATCATTACTGAGTGCTAAATGTGTACATGAAGAGTAACATGTATGGTCTAAGGTGTATAACAAAGCTTGAACTACCATGTTGAATTTGTCTTTCTAGCTTGTGTATCCGTACAGTACGTTATTTTTAAAGAATGCAACATCTAAATATACATTTCCAAGTTATCTTCAACATGCCTGTTTAACAATATTATCAGTGAACATTTTGGTATATTTGTTTTGGATTTTAACAAACTTTCCCTAATATATCAGATAACACAACAAAAATCTGTCCATCACATAGTACTTTCCTTTTCCCCTAAATTGTTACCACACCATCTCAGATCCGTTCCCAACTTCAATTAATGTCTCCACACATCAGTTTCAAGCTGCAAATCCCCCTCTTCCAAAAATGAAAACATTCACATAAGAATAGACAGTTTAAACAGGTGCCATGGTAACATAATCGTCACTGCGGCAATTACTGCCTTATGCCTGACTAACAGCCATAAATCATTCTTTCTCTACAAAGAGGACGTTGTGGCGCTCCACTCCCATCCAATAATCAGAAATTGCTCCATGTAAGGCGTGACGAGTGGGCGCTGAAACAGCCCATTCTTCTATTTGGCGGACGATATTTCGCTCTCTATGGCGACATTACAGGGATCCCTCAGCGAGCACGATATTGTACCTGCTCGACACCTGTTAGCTTTAGCCAAGGGTTTCATCAGATAGTTGAAATAAATACTAGTCATCATCATAACCATAATCATAGTCATAAAAAACCAGGGGCCTTTATGCTGTTGCCAAATTGCCCTGCCATCTGATTTACAGTCGGACTGGGTGGGGAGGGGAAACAGATAGGGCAGGGAGGAGGATGGGGCCTATTACGTGCTCGGAATGGGATAAATACTCAAATATACACACCTGCAGACCACCTGTCACACACACAGACCTGAGAGCTCACAGGCATGTAATGGCTGGGGATGGGCTTGAGGGAAGAACACAGAGGAATTCTCTTGAGATTACAAAGAGGAACATTGTACTACCTTCACACGCAGTACAACAGGTGAGGAGAGTGATAAGGGGCCAGAGGACAAATTAGCCCTCATATTAAAATAATCCCTCATGTCTAATAACAATAATATGCTCCACACTGAGGCTATTACACATTCACAATGGTCTTCCTTTTCAGGCTGCAACTTGTTGAAAACAGATTTGAGTGTTTGCGAAATGGGCTCATCATATCTGCTGGACCTGTCAACAGTCCTGAAATACACAGAGGTTACAGTAATGGATGCCAATAACTGCAGTGAGGAGGCAGTCTGTGTACACTCAAAATCCCGACCAGCTGTTTGATACAAAAGTAGAGCCACTGATACAAGCAGCAAAAAGACATGTCTTTCAAATGGGAGCTCCACCAATTTTACACGAGGTCCCGTTAGGAATACTTCTTTGCCGGTGAAAACAGCTGTCCAATGTCTTCTGTGGCTCTAAAGAGGGTATTTCAAAGTTTGAAGGATGTCAACAGTGTTATCTCGGCTTGGCCTTGAGACCTAAAGTGTAAACAGAACGCGTGTGTTATGCGTGGGTTTTGAAAGAAGGAGGCATTCGGGAGGCAAGAGGGGTCCTCTGGAAAGAAGCTATCCAGTTCCATTATGGGAAATGTAGGATCCAGTGGGGTTTTTTTTATGGCTTGATTCATATTAGGTGCTAAAAATCAGGATATCTCAGCCTCTACTGCTTCTATCTTTTTTAAAGCTACGTGCAATACTTGATCACTAAAGGGCAGCTTTAAAGCATGGCAGGCACTGCATTGATTAAACCTGATTTTAGTCCAGAATTGGCGGGCCGATTTTCTGGCAGATCAGTTGTCATTTGATATTCAGTTTGTGGGGGGTCACAACATGACACATGATTGCCTGAAAAATCAACAATCTGGCACTCTTAAGAACTTTACCTCTTCAAGTATGATTGGAGCAGTTTATTCATTATTTACTTATTTATTATATTTCAGACAACTGAAAATACAGTTAAATGAAAGAGCTACAAACCATTATGTGTATTTTAGCAGCCAACTGTGTTCAGATATTTCTTTGTGTTCATACCAGGCACAAACATCATGAAAAATAAATTAGGAAAATGTGTAGAGCCAAGTCCGTCATGTTGCTGTGAAGTAACAGGTGATGGAGTCAAAATCCTTTTGACATCCTAAGGCACTAAGATAGAAACAAAGAGGTCACCAACAGCTGTCGCACCTGTCCTCACAGGTCCACACTCATAACACAGCTGATCAAAACTAGGAATTGTAGAGAGGCCATCCTCCTCATTTCAGTCTTATCCCGTGGGAATAAAAAATGCATTTCCATCGTTGTTTGTTTTCATTGTTGATGGATTTACAGTTTACGGTCAGTAAAAAGGTGCATAGCATTGCTACAATGAATTGTCCTTACAGAGGAAGGCTGTAGAACAGTACAAAACTTGATTCTGACGTGTGCAAAATGGAAAGGATAAAAATAAGTGACGTGCACAAACAAGATCCAGAGGAAAACAAAACTAAATCAGCTGAATTATGGCATGCTTATTTTCATCTATAAAATAACCATGTTATCAATTTTGTAAATTAGTATTTTGGCTTCAAAGAAAAAAAATGTGTTAAAATACTGTCTTAATTTTCAACTAAAGCAATGTTCTTTTGATTGCAAAGTTAGGAAAATGATAAAATATACATCAATAGAAATTGCAGGCACAATATGTCTTATCAAACACATACAGCAGAGAATACAGCACAACATCAACAATACAGTGTTTTAATGTCTGTCAGCCCACATGACATTGTCATTTGAGAAGTAATACTGAGATGGAACTATTTACCTTAACAAAAGCAAAAATCAAAAAAAAATAATAATCTGTTTAAAATGCCTGCAGGGAGCTGAAATGAAAAATGTGTTAGCATTTGGAATTATTTAAAACTCAGTGGATGTAAACTATTTTCAAAGTCAAAATGTGAAACAGCTCAAGAAAATCTCTTTTACTTTTATCCCAGCAGCAAAGACTTGCATCAAACCATGCATGAAACTTGCTTCTCAAAAACATGCTCTTACAAGAGGCATTCACTTGTTTATAATAGACACTAGGTCCTTTCTGTGCAGAGTCAAGTAAATCACCCAAAACTTGGTGATCTGATACCGAACTACGTGAAGGAGGTGGCTGAATGATGAGGTTTGCAAAGGTTTATTAGTAAAATAATATCCCTTCAGTCAAGATGGAGCTCCCCTATGGTTTCGGGGCGTTTTGCATTCGCAGTCGCCTCCTAGCCAAGGCTTCCTGTTTCTTCCTCTCAATCTCAGCTGCAGAGCACTTCCCTGTCATCTGGCTTGTGACAAAAACTGGAAAGGAGGAAGGAAAGTGAGAAACATTAATGGAAACACTGAATAAAGTTTGCTTGGAAATGCTGAAAATGTAGAAAAAACACAAATCGTGTCGTTGCTAACAACTAAGTTTTAATTTGTTAACATAAAAATGTTGCTACCATAACTAGGACCAGTGGGTACCCATGGTGAAGCTCATTTGGAAGTTAAAAAAACCCCATCCCTACATGTCCAGAAGAAAATCAGTTTGCAATTCATTGGCAACGAAGCTTCCTGAGGTTTGGACTCTTGACAGCATCACAAATTAAAGCCATGGCACTATGTTTACTTGCTTTGGGGGAGAATAGTTCGTGTGTACACGCAGTGAACTGTCAATGATTAGAAGAACAACATGCAACATCTGTTTTACTTGTGAGTTTTCATTTCAATATCCAGTCTTATAAGTAGTGAGGACAGTAGATGGATCAGAAAAACTGCAAAGATACATTGAGTCAACCAAAATAACCATTTACCAAGAAGAAAATAAGCACTGAACATTGTCTTCATGAAAGTACATTTAGGTGTTACATATATTACAAAATACAGTTAATCAAATACATTTTCTCCCATTTCAGACAAGTATCTGTGCTGTGTTAATGGCTTAATGCAATCCTAAACTAAAGATCTTTTAATTTATCTTCTAATCTCTATCATGCTTTAATACAGCCAGGTGCAAATATCAAAATTCAGACAACTCACCTTTGTTGCTTATAACCGCTGAGTCGGATACATTTCTCTTGAAGGCTGTGTGATGGGACTTGGAGTTCTGTGGTGCCCTGGCTGTCACTGCATGTGGCTTCATGTCCACATTAGCATTCCCAGCCTGGAAAGTTCCAGAGGAATCCCTACACTGGCTAAATTCCCCCAGACTCATGCGGCTTCCTGGGAGGCTCTGAGACATCCGTGATTTGTTGTTGGCACCTTTCATGGGAATGTTCCATCCTTGGTAGTTCACAGATTCACAGCTAGTCCCCGGTAATGAGTTAGAACGAACAAAAGCACATGGGGACTGTCTGTTAGCACTGGCACCGGTATTCACGGACCAGGCTGCGTTGATTGGCATAGGCGCTGTGGTTTTACACTGTCTGTCTACAGTAACATCTTGTTTTTCTTGGCAGTTGCTCAGGCTCACTTGCTGTGGCTGACTGTTAGAGATCCTCTCCACGCTGTCACATACCTGGTAGAGCAGCGCATCATCATCCCCATTGTCCCATAAACTGTCTGAAATGTCTTTAACAGAGTCTGCAGCTACATTAGTTTCCCTCTGCTGATCATTACTGATCTTGTCAGGTCGAGGAGTCGACAGCGTCTTTGTGGGAGCAGATTTCTGGACAGACATGTCGGATTTAGGTTGTATAACAGTGAAGCTGGACTTGGAAACTTCCTTGGCAGTCGTCTTAGGCTGAAAGTGAGGATTGGGAGCTAACTTGAAAGTGCTTCGGTTGGTAGTCTTTGGTTTTGGACACAGTTCCTGGAGTGCACTGCAGCTTGGCTTGGAGTGCAAGTTTGAAGGCTGATGTGCAGAGCTTGTATTTGCAGTAGGCTTGCAAACAGAGGTGGACTGAGTAATGTTCGTCTTAGTGTTAGAGGAGTGGTGGACTGGCAAGATGGTTTTAGGATTGGTGTCATGTTGCTGGTCAGGATTCTGGGTCATCGCCAGCAAAAAAGAATCATTAAGTAGGTCATCATTCTCCCAGTCATCATCAAAGTCATCACACATGTTAACACTAAAACCACAAGATCCTTTTTCTTCAGCAGGACGTGCAGCTTGGCCAGACTTATCAGTGGACTTCAACTCCGATTGTCGGATTTCAGCTAAAGTTGAAGTCACACGTTGGTCTTTTATTTCCTGTGAACAGGCTGATGCTGAGGAGCCCTGGCTTAGTCGACCACTTACTTTCTGAGTGGAGCAGTCAAACAGAGCGTGCAGCTCTGCCTCCACCTGATCCGATGAGGATGGACACTTTAGATCCTTCACATTACAAGGGAATGATGTCTCTGTCAGTTTTGTTTTGGAAGTCCCCAAACATTTATTGGGGTTATTGTTGAATGTGTTAAGCTGTTCTGAAGTCTCCCTGTCTTGTTGCATGTTCTCATCAAACTGCCTGGCCAGTTTCTTGAGGTCCTCCACACTGCTCTGCCTGTAGAGTGGAAACAACACACAAGGGAAATAATCCACAATACAAAAAAGTAAAAACTACTGCTATAAATTAAAAATAAGTAACTGAGTTACAGGTAAAATGAGCAATAATGCATATAATGTTTGTTAATGTAGGAAATAAAACAGCAGGTCCCCAGTCAGTGAGTATCTGGTTCAACAAACTGATTACGCACCGAGAGGACTTCTTCCTGACTCTTGGCTTTGGCATGTCTGGTGTGCAAGGGACTGCACTGTCACCTATCCACTGCAGCAGAGGAGATTCAGTCACTTTCTGTTTCACATCCTGTGAAAGACACGAGCAAAAAATATTTAACCAAACAAGCCTAAAATCTTAGTATAGCACACAGAACTAAGTGATTAAACGGCTTGTAGTTAAGTGTTACAATAAAGGGACAATTTTCACCATGACATTTGGACATGTTGATTCAGTCTAATGTTTCTGAAGAAACAACTGACCTTTGGAGCAATTCGGTTGACAATGTCTGATATTTCCACAACTCTGGTGTTCTTGAGGCCTGACCCAGAAAATAGATAAAAACAAATATTTGTTATACTACTAACAACACTAAAAACAATGTGAAACACACATGATAAAATCACCCAAGATTTTATCATTGTTGATTCATTCTAATTTTTAGTCATATACATGTATCAATTAGTTGTATCTATGTAATAGTTTCCATCCCAACGATCATATGTTCATTAAGTAAAAGAAGAAGCATGTTCAGCGGGTGTGCATGTTTTCATTCATGTAGAACCTCTCATTCAGATGTTATTTCTGTGTTGCACATCATTGTTGTTTACCAGTAATAGCTGGAGTGGGAGATGTTGAATCCCAGAAAATGTCTTGTGTTGGTTCCACGTCACCTGGAGAATCCCCATTATTCAGGCCGGGGTATCTGCTAAAGCCTCTGCGCTTAGGACTCTGCAAATCTGTGCACCAAACAGATATAAAGTGTTATATCATATCAGCTGAATGAAAACATCCTCAGTTCATTTGCTATGGTTACAGTTATTCTAGTGCATTTAACATAACACAATACAAAAGGGTGCAACTAATAATTTTTTTTCATTATTGATTAATTTGTTAATCATTTGCAAGATTAATTGATTGTTTGGTCCATTAAATGTCAGAAAATGGTGAAAAATGTTGATCAGTGTTTCCCAAAGCCGAAGATGACGTCCTCCAATGTCTTGTTATGTCCACAACCCAAATATATTGAGTTTACTGTCATAGAGGAGCAAAAAAACATAAAATATTAATTTAAGAAGCTGTAATCAGAGAATTTGTTCTTAAAAAATGACTCAAAACAATTAATTGATTATAAAAACAGTTGAGTTTAATTTAATAGTTGACAACTAATTGATTAATTGACCTATCATTGCAGCTTTAATAATACATGATTAGACTGGTATATATGTGTCCCAGTGTGCCAATGCAATACAAAAGCACTAAATTAGAATCCAAATAAAATATCTCACTCAACATTTAATATTATTATTTTCGTCTTTCTCACAAAGTATTGTGGAACAACACTGTCAGTAGCGTAAGGATGTGTGTGGTTTCTGGTTAGTGGTGTGTACTGTGAAAGAAATAAGCAATAAAGTCAGCTAGCGTGTTGTCACACTATCACATATTCTGTTTGATCGCCTAATGGCCCTCGCCGCACCTCCTCCACGTAACGCAGATATGGTTAAACGTTTTCAAGCCATCACAGCTATTAACGTTGCAGGTGCGGAGCAACAGATCTTCGTCTACTTTAATCGTTCCGCAGCCTCACCTTTACACATGGGGGATGTTGTTGTACCAGGCATCTGCTTTTCTGTTTTCTTGTCTATTGTTTTGCTGTGACAAAGTTTGGAAACACTCCTCCACAGGTCGGTGAACTCAGGAGAGGCAGCAGCAGCAGGATCTGACATACTTCACTAAAACAGGCAATAACGACGCAGCTTCTGCTGAACATTGTTGTATTAACTGCTTCGTGGATGCTCCGTGGCTTACAGCAGCTATACTTTCTTTTCAAAGTCTGTTCTTGTTTTCGCAAACACGTTTGTTGTCATTTTCCTTCAGCTCACTCATTCGAAGCAAGCCGCCATGTTTGGCCGCGACGTCATCAAACTACGGATGCTGGGAAGGTTTTGTCGCGGTTCGTTCTGACGGCGCCACAACCGTTTTCAAGAAAGACAGGGAAAAGTTGGACTGCGCTGGTGTTAGGGTAAGGTATGAAGGAAAATAAGCACGTCAGTACTTCATTTTCATATATAATAAGAAATATTATAAAGTAAACTGCAACCTATTCATGAAGGCCATATAGAATTTGTTCAGAAAAATAAGAATATATTAGCGGTGGTGGAAAGTTACTGGTTTAGTAGATTACATAGCTTCTGTAGGCTACTTACAATTCTAAGATAGGCCTACTTGTACTTCACTTTAATTTAATGCTACTTAATACCTCTACTTCACCAGCACGTCAGAGGGAAATACTGTATCGAAATACTGTACTGCTTTTTTTGACAGCTGTAAAAAGCAATGCATTGTTACAGAATTACATCACTGTCTTTCATGGTAATGCATCAGTAATAATATCTCAATATTAAATAATTTAACACAGAACCATTTGCCTCCTCAGTGAATACTATAAGTAGGCTACATTTTGCTGTTATATAATAAATAAAAGTGATATTGCTGCGACCCCCTGAAACCTCTTAAAGGACCCCTGACAGTCCCTGGACTTCACCTGTGTACTGGTACTTCAGGCTACAGAGACCCAGAAAGCATTAACATGTCTCTAAACATGTCAGTTTCTGGCAACATGGCCATTGTTGCTGAAGAAACAATTATCACAAAAATTTTAACATTTCAAAGTTAGTTTCAACAAAATGGGGGCAGCATATCTACATTTATGCTGCCAAACTCTCTGCTTCATGAAAAACATCCTAACACTACAAGTAAGTCTACCCATATTTTTGTCCAGTAATAGAGGATTATTGGGCCTGAAGCTTGTCTGTTTGTAGAAGCCTTGTTGGAAAGACTGTTGTTTGTGTGGATCGCATGCCTGTTGTCAAATAAATAATCAATCACACATTTCACAAATGTTTATTATGTGAGTCTAACAAATGTGTAGGCACAATTTATATTACATGGTGTTTGGCAAAAGTATCATTTAAGTCTGTTGAGGTTAACACGGTACTAAGACTGTAACTGTGTCTGCAACTGGTTTCCCTTTATGAATATCAGACTGGTGAGGATCAGCCTTCACTGTACTTTTGTCAGCAGTCAGCAGTATTGTCCTTTCAATAACAATTAGACATCTGCAGGTCAGATCATGCAACTTTTAATAGAGTCAATGTAAGGATATGAGTTTATTACTATATAGTTCTTTAGTTCTTCTTTTATTGTAATCTCACGCGTTGGAATGTCTGTTCCTGCCTTGATAAAGGTTGGTGGACTGTAAACACCAGCAACAATGATGGAAGTAAAACCAAAACATCATCATTCTAACCCTGATAAAGCCTGATGTGTTATGTTTTTGTAAATATATTTGTGTTGTCAACAAACCAAGACGAAAAAACAAAATGATAATGGAAGTTGGAATGGAAAATCTGGATGAAACTGTCCTCATCTGCTTCACAGTTTCTAGCATAAGAATTTCATTTGCATTAGTTTTAATTCAATTTAGTTTCCCATATTTTTCTGAGTCAGTCAAATATGCAGAATACTGGCACATAATATCAGCTATTGGCATTCTTCAATCCAAAACAATCCGCCTTCAGAAAGTATTTTTCATTTAAATACCCCCTTGAGACATGACTGAAGACATCGAAAAATACTTTGCATGGATAAATTTGTGTCTGATGCAGTTTTTCAATTACCTTATTAAAAATCTTTAAAATTACATCTACTCCCTCTCATGAATATGCAAATATTTTTCATTTAGGGAAGATGTCTCCTTCTTCACTGAAAAACCTATTCTCATTGTACGTGTGGTGGAGGCTTTAAGTTTCCATATCACACATATGACCTCAAAATTTTGTAATGTTATAAAATCCTTCTCATATGTACTTGACTTAATCTCAGATCTAAGGTCAGCACAGAGACACTTTCCTTCAGCAGATGAATGTGAAATCAGCCTTCTTGTGTCTGCGCACGCATAATTCTGCATAGCAAAGGTCAAACATCCAAGTGAAGTAACTGTAAGCAAAAGACATTTTTGAGTGCAGGAGGACTTTAAACCTCAGTCACCAGATACACTCAGTGGTAACTATCAAATGTTGACTGCAAATGTTTGACTGCAACTCACTGAGGGACATTGAGGCGAGAATATTTTCATGACCAATCTAAAGTGATAACTCCTTTAGAGCCAAAGATCAAAGGTCAAAGAAACTATTAATACAGTGCACTGGCTAAGTATGTCAGCGAGGCTTTTTCGAGCCAAGGTGACTGATGGGTCAGCGGCTGATCTTTTGTTTTAGTGTGTTTAGGGAGTGAACTTCAGTGTCAAAATCTTAGTCTCATATAAATTTACGCTTCTAATTAAAACACATATATTAAACGTAACATCCAGTTCTGAGTAGTTTGAGCACAGTCTCTGTCTCCAGACTATTTTTATGACTTTTTAAACTCTCAGAATTAATTTTTTAATTCACCTTGAATTTGTCTAGAATTTGTCTGCTGTTGGGAGTTATCTTGAATTTTCTAGCCTATAGAAAATCTTAGATATACATTTTTTTCTTCACTCAATCCACCTTTTTTTGTTTTCTCCCCAGTACTACAGAAAGTGTTAGGTATTACCTTTGTATTTTTTAAATCTCTGTGTTTCGAATAGTTGAATATTAAAGACTTTTATTGAGAGCTGGTGCAGATAGATATACATTCATTGAAACTTTATAGGTTAGTTTTGCTTCATAAAAAATCTCCAAACACTTTTTATTGCCTATTTTGGTCTTAAGTCAGAATCAAAAGGCTCAGGTCTTGGAACCTGTTTGGCACTTAGCTAGCTATAACTAGTAATATTATTCCTTTAACTATATTTGGCCTTTTGCTACGTGGACGTTCAAAAATGCAGTTTCTTGCATGCATACCTCTTAATCAAGTGAATAATTGCTTCATTGGTAACAGGTTAGTGACATGTGAATTGATGACTCCAGATAAGTCCTTTTGTTGTTGAAACTAGTCCATGTTTCCACCATCATCATCCTCTTATCTGAAAGCTGAGGAAATATGATGAAAGTTGCAGTTATTTATTTAACTATGTCATACACACACACACACACACACACACACACACACACACACACGCAGGCATACACATAAACAGTATTCAGTTTCCACTGAACACACTATGACTCCTTTAATCAAGAAAGAAATATTTGGTTTAAAAAATTTAAACTTTACCCTCTTACTTCTGAAAAGAAATCAAACTTCTGACAAGAGATTGGTGGAGGTTTAAGGATGTTTGAGTCACCTGTAAAATGTGCTGTTAGGCTTTTCAGGCTAAATGTGTGTTGTTCAAAATGCTTACATGCATGTATTTCATCAGAGAGGTCAGAGGCAGTCAGGAGGAGCAAGCAAGGATGCAAAATTGAATTGGTGTGTATTGTAATGTGTAGTTTTGCATGAATGCAAAATGATATACTGAATGTGATGAGTTTAGTCCTGATTTTATCTATTTCTCATTATGTAATGCAACATTAATTCACCATCTTTTGCATTACGAATTTTGTGATGTTAAAATCAAATCAATTTCAAACAAATATTCTAAATCTGACCTGAATTGATTCTTCAACACATTTCTGACATTCTGCAGAGCAATTTCCACAATAAAGCACTAGATGGTGCTTGTATACCTCCTTCGCATTGTGTGTGTGTGTGTGTGTGTGTGTGTGTGTGTTTGTGTGTGCGTGTTGGGGGTGAGAGAGAGAAAGAAACAGTAAGAAAAGTCAGTGTTGACTGGATGCAGAGAGATTTGTGTAGAACATCTTCTACTGAGGTGCTGTGCTGCTGCAATAATATTTTGTAATAGACAACATACACTTATGCACACACACACTCCCAAGCTGCAGTGAATTACTATGCTTGATTATACTTGATTCTGCTTTGATTGTTTTCATTTGGAAGCAGTTTATCAATGTAGAGATTTGGGGAAGCCAATCAACTGTGTTTCTTTGATTGAATGCCAGAAACTGTTATGAACTGACGACCTATAGCCGGAGCCTGCACTTCCTGGTTAAAGCATAATACTTGTTTCATCAAAACATCAGCAGATATTTAGCCACCGCTAACGATAAATGCATGGTGTTGAGGGTAACATGCGTCATCTTTTGGACAAACGCACTCATTTTTCTGAATCAAAAGCATGTTGTTGCAGGCTAGAAATGTGCTGAAGAACATTCAGCCCCAGATCCTCCAGGTTGATATAAATGTGCAAATAATTTTGAGGTGATCATTAAAGAAGGAAACCATATATTAGACATTCAACATATAGCCAAACAACTAGCAGACAAAAACACAAAACTAGGAATTATTTCAGAAATTGTGTTGTAATTGTGATTTTTAGTTTTAGTTTTAGTGTGCCATATTACTTTAAATGCTATTTTATCATTTATTTTCCACCTTGACCAGAGTATAGAGATATACTTTTTTAAATTAATCAATGAATTGTTCAATATATAAAACATAAAAAATATATAATTATAAATCGCTTAAGTCCTGAAAATCCAAAGTAACACATTCTATTTCAAAGGTTTTGACATTACAGGGATATACAACTGAGAAAAGCAGCAATTCCTCATATTTTAGAAGCCAAAACCCTCAAATACTTCTATTTTTGTTTGATGAATGAATTAAACAACTATCATTTTTATTATTAATGTTCTGTCAATTAAAACATTCCTTTGACAAACATATCTTGTTGTGATGACACACACAACAAACAGCACATTTAGGCTTTCGTCATTTTTGTGGCATAGATGTTGTCATGTTAAACAGGTTAACTGGAACTGCCAGTATGGATATAACAACGATTTAATCAACAGTTAGCTCCGTTTCATGCCTCCCTGTAATGCATTCGGCTAATCTTGGGGGTATCCTCATTGCTCTGTCAAGCGAGCTGTGTCATATCACGCTGCC